TACTATTCAAATGAACGTATAAAACAGAACATATGTTCCCCACAAGCACATAGACACATTATTAGTTCTCCAAACCGAAGCCGCAACTGCAGCTTCCAAAGATTAAAAAATATAGACACACGGACACTGCAGATTAATTCTAACGAACTGTGTTCTTACGGTTTGGATGAAAGCTCACATACTGATTATTATTTTCAGAGACAATCTGTTCTGTGAGCCCTCTATGATGACGAAGTGAGGACAGCATGAACGAATATGGCAAAACATGTTTGTGCTAAATATTCAGACATCTAACTCATCAGCCATTCTATTCTTAATTCTATATCTCATCCCCTCAGAAAAGATGCAACCCAACCAGGGCATAACAGCGTATTAGTGTGCATGTAATCCCACGTAGTGGAGCTTAGTTAATGGACCTTGATCATGTTGAATGGAAAATTATGTTTTCTGCCTTGTCTCTTTTATTAACCCCTGGCATATGCCATCAGTCTGAGAAGAAAAAAACTCTGACTCATGTTTTTACTGTCTCTGTGAAATGGGATCAAAGTAGGGAAAAAAGATTTGACTAAAAGAATATAAGCATGTAGAAACACAGTGTGCCAGTTTTTGCTTGTTAAGGATTATTCAAGAAACGCCATTAATTTTTTGGTGGCCTTTTTTTGCAAAATCATGAAAGGGTAAATGATGTTTATTTTTTCCACACTGTATGTGAACATTTTTTTGCATTCATTATACATAATGACTCAGTATAATGTGCCATGCATTCATCATCTAAAGCTGTATCATCTAAAACTGCATATTCCCAATTTTAAGAGTTTCAAAGAAACATAATTTGTTTCTGTTAAATTAGGATATGATAACATTTGAATACCGGTAAACATAAAGAATTACATTTTTACACAACATTCATATTGTACTCTGTATGGTCTTTTTACATTTGAAGGTTGAATTTAAATCATCGGTTTCTGTGTAAACATATTTAGAGACACAAATGAGCTTGTACCACTGATATAAAGAAATGTGCCTTGAATATGTTTCATCCATTTTGCACAATGCAGAGATGTGTTGCAGGAGTCAGATTGAGTACGTTCTGTTCTGAAGCAGTAGGCATGTACATCAAGAGAAGTTCCAGAGGCTAATGACTTCTTTGTCTTCTCACACTCACTCTGAGGATTTCTGTGTGTCTTGCTTGGTATAATGCAAAACTACACAATCAGAGATTTTCAGACTGTTACCGTGCCTAATTGTTGAATGTTTAATTTTCAATCCACAGGCAATAATCTGCTGCTGGATCAGCCTCTTCATATGTTGAAAAACGTCCATGGTTTCATGTCCAAATTGAGTTCATCCTCTTGTGTGAGATTGTGGTTCTGTTATTTTTCTTTGTAATTAATGGATATTCTGCAGAGTATTCTGCAGAATATCATTAAGACTTTGTCCATGGACAAATAATTTATGCTTTAGGGAGAAATCAATTAAATAAAAAAATACAAGATTGAAATAAACCTTCACAATTGTATTCTGTGCCAAAACATAAAGGGTTCTCAATATTTCTGTCAATATTTCTTTCTTCTGTCTACTTCTTTTACAATATATCGAGGGCTTGTGTTCAGTGTGGTTTGTCCTCTACTTCTTCTGTTTTTGACATTCAAAATAATCTTCATTTTTGTCACATTTTCTTAATTTACACAGACCTCCTATTATTTCTTTACTTATTTTAAAATATGTAAGTACTTTTGTAGCTTGCGCTGGCTTCCAAATATTATTCAGACTGGTGTTCTGTTCTATTTTTTCAACATGAATAAAGATTAGCCCCATAGAGATTTCTGAGCCTCAGCAACTTCATTGTATGCCGAAAGCACATTAAAACCCAACAGTTACACCAGAAGGATACAAATCAGTTAACAGGATGAGACACATTTCAATGTGTGCACTTTGCTTTGTTATTTCAGTATCTAATGAGTCAGGCATGACTGTCTCTGTATAGAGCAGCTTGCATTTGTTACACGTATTGACACTTTTTGTAATAATGTGTATGATGACAAAAAGTTTTTAAAAGTTTAAGGATTCTGTATTTTACAGACTTACACCTTGGATTGATTTTATCCTGTTGACTGAAATTACAAGGTGCTGCAGGGAAAGTTCAAGATATGACCTTTTAGTATTGCTTTTAGTTAACCCTTGTATGGTATTCACTTTTGGGACCCTGTGGTATCCCTCGAGTCAAATTGAACCTGGACAATTGTATTTAATAAACCATTAACATATATTGTCTTTATCTCAATTTCAAACAATTGCGATAAAATACATGAATATATACTTGACGTCTTTTGTTGTCATCCATAATCAATATTTTGCTAACATTTCTTTCCTTCTTGTTCTCTTATTTTCTAGTGGATTAATTACTGTCTTATTTAAAAAAAATGTTTACTTATTACATATTATGGTGTATCATATTAGCTCAATATCTGATGCAACATACTAAACAGACAGATCAGAGTGAGAGTTCAGTGAAAAAGTTCAAACGCAAAGTGAACTAAATGAAAGCCAATTATAAAAGAAGCCTATTTTCTGAGCAACTTGTAAAATTCTCTGGTCTATGAATCATTCAATACAAGCCACCAGCAGGGGGGCAGAACTTATCCTTGCTTCTCTCAGACAAGAGGCACCCGAGAATCATAAGGATTTATTTCTGTAAGATAAGAAATATGAAAAAACTATTTAGTTTAGAGTTCATATTTTATCATTGTACATAAGATACATAAACCTGTCCTTTTTCATAACTTGGAGTACACTTAAGGAACATTTCCTTTCAGGCTGAGGGATGAACAGAGATGCTTTACTGTCTTGGTTACAGAAGTAATAACACTGTAAAGCACTGTAAATGTAAAATAACTTCTTTTTTTTGTTTGTTTGAACTGAATGGAAGAGACATTTCAAAGTTCCATGTTTTCTTCACCGCTCTGTCCACCCTGACCCAATTCCTGGGCAGACTATTTAGTTCAGTGTGTATATGTTTCTCTCTGTTATTCTCAAAGGTCAAGTTAATCTGCTTTTGACAAACAAACTGCAGGGTCATATTTAATGGGAGAGCATTTTCAATTATTAAAGGTTGAATCACGGAAGAATGACGTTTTAGAACCTACAAAAGAAATGATTGAGAAATGTTATTTTTTGTGCTGGCTTCAACACCCTGAGAGCTCCTTTTATGTGGTCCATTATGACAGACAAGCAGTTCAAACACGTCACAAATCATCATGCTTAAGGGCATGAGGATACAGGGCACGGTGCATAGTCATCATATTATGTAAAGTGTGGAAAACATTGGCACATAAAAAGCTTGGCCATCATAACAGGTCTATTTTACAACACCTGAGAATTTATTCCAAGAATACCTTAACAGCTGTAAAAAAAAAAAGAAAAGAAAAGAAAAAGAAAAAAGTCACTAAAAGATGCTGCGTCTGTTATGAAACTATCAACAAAACAGTTGAGTGCCAATGGAGATTTTCTTTTAGCTTGATTATTTTACACTTTAAGGGGAAACAATGTTTTTATTTGAAAGCATGATCTTGTTAGAGGCATGAATATAAACCATTTATAAATGAAGGTTATGGAATTGTTAGTTTCGCTTAAGGCTTTGAGAAGGCTTTTTTTTAAATGAATCGGTTTTCTATTTGATGGCAGCATGTTGAGTGAATAAAAAGCTAATCTAAAAAAAATCTCATTTTCACAAGACAGGGGAAGACTATTCCTATTCTGTATAGACATTTTTATTAAAAGATTAATTTTTCTACTGGCGCATATTATCACTGAAGGTTTCCGTCCTGAGCTATTTTACAGGGATTAAATAGCCCAGTAAAAGTTTGACAGGAAATTCATCATTAATGCATTCAACTTTTGCAACAGTGAACTTGTGTCAGCATTAATCAAATATTTCTCGATTTCAGTGGACGGTTAAGAAAGAAGTCAGATCAAAGTTTTTTTTCTCTTTTAAGATGATACCCCTGATAAATCAATACACTGCAAGCCTTGTCTAGAACTGATGATACAGCAATTTCTAGGATGTTGAGAGAATATCAAAACATAAGTGCTTCGGCTTAGGAAAAGAAGAGTGAGGGTAAATTGGCTTCGAGTTAGATTCCTTCACATTCTAAAACAGACCAGTCACAGGTGGACACAAATGAAGTCTGTAAAGGAGAGAAAAAAGGTACACCTAGGAACCATGTGATCAGTGGTGAAGAACAGTATTTATCGCTTCACATGCTTCCATGATTGAGCTGACCTCTGGGTACTTAAATCATCATTAAATCATCTCACAACTGATAAAATTAACACCTGAGTGGCACCTGTGGCCTCAGCAGAGGAAAGCGACACAGACTTGATTGACTTTTAAAATAATGACGAGAACAGTATCCTTGGAGATAGGAGACCTTTTCAGGAAATGAATGACAGCCTTTGTTGGAATCATCGAAGAGGAAAAGTCACACTTCAACACTGTCTCCAATGGAGTGCTGTCAGTCTCATGACAGTGATCCTCTTGTGCTACTGTCAACGTTTTGTGTATCTCGGGAGAGAAGTGAGATGTGACATGCTTTTCAGATTGAACAATTTAGAGTAACTCTATCAGTGTGTCTATTATTCTTGCATGACTGATTTTTTAACCTGAAAATAGAAAACCAACACAATCTATATATCTAATCCAAGAATGACAGATATGAAAACTGCTACCCCTGGTGGAAATGTAGAGCTGTGTCAGCACCATAAATATTAAATCCAACGTTTTACCTCACTTCAGTCAACATTTGATTTGCATAGAATATAGTTAGATCACAAAGGAAAGACAGGGAGGAGGAAAAATCCTAATAGTGATCACGTTTATCTTTAGGGAAATTGGTTTTCAGTTTGTCATAAGTAGTGGCATCAAGTAACACTTATTCTGTGTCGCTTCATTTTGCCTGGCGCTACAACAGTGGCATCTAGCTGTCACTGAAGGAACCGAGTGGATCTCAGGTTTTGAACGCAGCATTTTGGGAGGTTCCTAACCACATGACGTATAAATCAAATTGCCTCCATGAATAGTTTTTGTTGTATATAAGCTCTAATTATAAACTGCCATGGTCTTACGTGGCCTTGCCATGCAACGAAATGAATGGATGTGTCGGTTAAGGTCGTGTTTTTCGAGCAGAGTACTAGCGAAGTGAAAGAGAAAAAAAAAAAACGTAACCGAACGCAGCCTCGGTCACATGCCAGTCAAGCTGGGTCAGCTGACGCTGTGCTGCTTCTCCTTTTGATGCTGTTCTTCCTCCATCGCCAGATAGCGCTTCATTAAACCGGATAATAACGTAACATAGGCTTTCCTCGTATCAGATCAACTATTTTAATCAAGTATATCTTGCTGTTCCGGTAGGCTAGATCACCGAATAGATGCTGCTCGAGTGTATGATGAACGGACACGCCATTCTTTACACGGGGGTCACTTTGGCCTTCTGGAGTACCATATTAATCGTCGGTAAGGTTATATTTTCTAGTTGGAATAAAGATAATAATAGGCTTCATTAATGACACCGTGTGTATTATATAATCTTTTTATCCTGAAAACTGACGTTGACGTTTTTGTGGCACAGTTAGCTGTATCGTTTGACAGATAAGTGGGGACCTGGCTAAATCTTGGTGCTAACGCAGTTGCGAGTGTTTTTTGTTAGCTAATGTTGGTTGTCGAGTTTGCAGATTCAGTCCTTTTACGTCCATGCGTGTAGGTTATCAAATACTAAGTCAAGAGGTGTTCGCGAGAGAGATTTTCCTTTGACGTAGTAGCTTTAGGCATACATTTGCTCTTGGATTTGTTCTAGCATATGGCTAGCACGGTTGTTAAGCTACTGTTAGGTTGCTCAAAGCTAAACTCGGAGTATAACATGTCACATGTCAGAAGTTCTAACAATGGACAACAGTTTCTTTTTTCACTTTACTATATTTTGGTTTAAATGTTCCAATAGTGCATTCATGCCCAGGTGGGAGACTTCTCCTTCTTCCAGCAAAGCTAGGCTAACGTTAGCTTTGGGAAGTAGACTTTACAGGTTTTTATTGGCTGTCAAATAGGAACTGCAGCAGCTTTCACGTGAGACTGAGCCATCACACACAGGCTCGAACCTTTTTCCAGGACTGTAGAGTTTAAGAGTGACTTTACTTCACACGTGAACCAGGGAACAAGTTATTGGTGCTTAAGCGTTTGTGACTTGACAGTGGAATTGTCTTTCTTTAAATTATAATGCCAGCCTCTAAATTGCATGCTGTTATGCCTTTGTAAAAATATTTTCTAAACATTCTTTTTCCCCCAACAGGTATCTGCTATACCATATTTGACCTTGGATTTCGTTTTGATGTGGCATGGTAAGAATGCATTTTTATGCAGTCTGAAACTGATTAAAATGGTTTGTGCATTGATTTAAAGTTTCTTTTCTTGAAGGCTTTTAGCGCTAATGCCCAAAGTACAGAACAAATTCATGCCACTGATTATGCTGGACATTTTGCCCTTTCCCTCATGGTTAAGCAGACTTTTATATACTAATAAAAAATCATTATCCTCATTTATCTTCTGCCATCTTCTAAATCAAATGTTAACTTTAACAAATTGCACTTTTGTCATCTATATTGATCACTACACTTGAACTCATGTAATGAAACGTGTGTGTGATGCTCTACATGGTAAAAATGTTCAGTTTACAGCTGACCTGTTGTGTGGGATTTGCATCTGAGGAGGATGAATAGTTCAAATGTTGAGTTGTGAAATGCCTCTTCCCTCACAGGTTCCTGACAGAGACCTCGCCTTTCATGTGGGCCAATCTTGGGATTGGATTGGCCATATCGCTGTCTGTAGTTGGAGCTGCATGGTGAGTACTTTTCTTTTTTTAAACAAAAGAGAGAAGGTAATAAAAAGCTCACATGAAAGTATAATCTATCGTCCTCTGAGGATTTTTTTAAATTACTTTAGGCCTCTCTCACTTCCTCAGGAAGACTGGTCCAGATTTTAGATGCATAAAAACTTTTCTTGGTCTGGTTTTGATACCGTTCCTCTGATTCTGGGAATGTTGGTAAAGGGCTGCAGATGTTACAGATTAAATGTGGTTGCTACAGTTCAGATTTGAGTCCAGTATTACCCCGAGATTTTTTACCATGATTTTTAAGTTCCAGAGAATGATGAGGTGAATGATGACACTTTTGTTTTTGTCTCTGTGGGCCACAGACAAAGATTTTAGTTTTTTTAACGGGAGAAAGGTGTTCTGCATCCCCCTCACAGTTCAACTTCACAGAGACATTGGCAAAAAATGTACATTTAATTTCCAATCTAGAAACTGGCATTAAATACTTTAACAGCAGTGGTTGTAGTGTATTGAAAATGAATAATAATGTGCTGATAAAGAGCTTTTAGAACCACAAGCTTCTCACAGTTGTTGAATGGTCACGGGCCTTAGCATGGTTTATTATATATTGTTCCTGTAATTACAAATTTGTAACCTGAAAGTCTTTGTTTTGTATTTCTGTCTAAGCTGATCGTGCTTACATGTGGAGAAGTTCAAATTTCATTGGCAAGAATTCTGTTCTTTTTAGTGTTTGCTTCCCTGTTATGCATTGAAATTAATTTAATCTTCTGCATGTGTGTTTAACTGGATCCTTTGTTGTAATGACTGGATGAAATCCACTAATCGGATTAGAGGAGATGTGTGTTGATTCTATCTGTAAATTTGATGTTAATACTAATGGCCCACCTTGAATCACCAGTGCAATGAAGAAAAAGCTGTCTCTTTTTGTCCACCTTTGATGTATCACTTGGGGAGACTAATTGTCTTTTGGATTGTTCCCCAGGGGCATCTACATTACTGGCTCAAGCATCATTGGAGGTGGTGTCAAGGCTCCACGAATCAAAACCAAAAATTTGGTCAGGTAAGAACAAAACTTTTCAGACAGCTGCACATTGCCCGAAACCCTGTGAATGTTATTCAGTAGAAAAACAATCACACTTTTTTTATCTTTTCTTCCAGCATCATCTTCTGTGAAGCTGTTGCCATTTACGGAATTATCATGGCAATCGTCATAAGCAACATGGCTGAGGTAAAAGTTGTTTTTTATTCTTAAATGATAAAGGAGGAGTTTAATCAGACTGAAAATACAAGATGAACTACAGCACAACTCAGACAAAACCAAAAATGGATGGTTTCTCTCTAAGAATAGTCTCTTTCACCTTATAGAATTTTAGTGGAACCACTCCTGAGACCATTGGAGCTAGGAATTACCAAGCTGGTAAGAACACGGACACGACGAAACCCACTAATTTCATAGCAGTCTATGACAAACACAACAGTAGACAGTTGGTGTAAATTTTGATTCCACATTTCAGTTTTATTTGACAGGCCCACTGACTCGTTTCTCTCTGTACCCTTTAAGGTTACTCAATGTTTGGGGCTGGTCTGACGGTTGGCTTCTCCAACCTGTTCTGTGGCATCTGTGTCGGCATCGTGGGCAGTGGAGCAGCTTTGGCAGACGCCCAGAACCCCAGCCTCTTTGTAAAGATTCTCATCGTGGAGATCTTTGGCAGTGCCATCGGTTTGTTTGGCGTCATTGTAGCGATTCTGCAGGTAAGTAATGCACTACCCCCTCCACCCAACACACACACACACGCATCTCAAGTTATACTTATTGGTCACAACAGTTTTATTTTAATTTTTTTATCTCACAAACTTCTTTCTCTGTATGTTTTCTCTCCACAGACATCAAAAGTAAAGATGGGTGACTAAAGGATGCACTCAGAAGCTACGAAGAGAAACTAACTGCTGGAAAAATTAGATGGATTATTGTGTAAATACATCGTAAATTATTTAAATGTCTCTGTAAGGTTGCTTGGTATTATTTTTAGCTATCGTTCATAAAGGGGGGGGGGCTGGTGCATGCTCTGTTGTCATGTCTTAAGGGAAACAAGAATGTTGAATACAATTTTGAAGAAAAGCTAAAAATGAGCTTGTCTTGTTTAAGAGAAAGTAGAAACCTGAACCTGTTCAGATTAAGGAGTTGCTTACAACTTTCTTCCCCCTTGATGAATGCTAGTTAAAATGTACTGTGGAGTATTTGAAACTGGTGTGTGTGAGTGTGTGTGTGTGTGTGTGTGTGTGTGCGCAGGACATGTATGTGACCTTTTTTTTTTCTTCCCGTGAAGCATGAATATGTTTGTTCTATGCTTAGCCTGGTGTGTCTTTTTTTGTTTTGTAAGTTTACAATAAGAGTATTGATCTAAATGATTAGAGTCACATGACAGTGGAGCGTACTTTTTGAGAGGTCCAAAAGAGTTTGAGTTTTCATATCAGCTGAACTTGATCCTGGTCTTTCCCTAAGTGTAATGTCACATACTCACAAACTTCCTGAACACCTTGGCTGAGTTAATTTTTATCCAAGACGTGATTGTCTCCTGTGACTATTACATCAAGGCATCAGGCACAAGGTAGGATTGTGCAGTATTACTCTGGAGTGATTCAAATAAGTCTTAAGAGACATTTTCTTTTTCTCCAACACAGTGGTTTTCCAAAAGAATTGAAGTTTTTGGCATGAAATTCTCTTTTAATGAACTAAATACTAACATTTCTCTCTGTCAACCCTACAGTTTAATAGACTGTTAAAGAGAGCTGCTCTTTATCACAGATATCCCATAGTAACTGTTACTGCTGACTTTATCATCGTCATCATTCAATGGGTCCTTTGGGGCTGAAGTTCTGAGGCTGAATTGACCCAGTGACCTGAATTGTTGAGCAGGCTCAGCTGATCTGCGGCTCCACACTCCATTACATAATTCTCTTCATGCACACAGAATATTGATTCCCCCAAAATCTCCATACAGTTTTTCTCTGAATCCTTCCCGTCTCGAATGTAAATGTTGGCCATTGTTTTTTTTTTTATAGATGTGAACTGTTCAGTTTACCAAATCATTTCTGACGTTCTTTTTGGATGTGTGTGTGTGTAGATATGATCATCTAGACATGTGCAGAGCCACAGCAAAGGCATAGTTAATGCTCAATTTATGACCATTCTTTTGTCATCTTCTGATTTTAAACAAGTAATCTGTGTTATCTGAACTTTTCACTTCAATTCTCTAGAAGAAAAAAGGGTCTCGCCCACGACTGACCGCTGATACTCTGCAGCTCGTAGTCGATTTGATGGCGGCCGGTATTAAAACGCGTCGTAACTCTTGATCTTAATGCATCATTCCACAGAAGTGACAGACCATGTCTAGATGTTGTCTCTCTGAAAGCTTTCGTTGTTGTTTATCCTTCACAACTTTACTGAGGTGCATTGATGTTTGGTGTAAATAGTTGGAGTTTTAAAAGGTGTAAGAGCGACAGACCTCTCCCGTTCGGATAAAGAGTGAACTCCACGATGCCTTTGATAACCCAGGCCCCGTCCCAAACTCTGGACCTCCAGTGAGTGCAGATGATGCAGTGTGTACAATATGTGTTGCTGTGATGGTGATCTGAAAGTAAAACCAAGTTTGTTTTTGACATTGTGTATTGTGTAAAATCAAATTTCCCTCTGGCTTCATGAACGTCCATGAGAAAATAAAAAGGTCCAATCATTTGTCTGGAGTGTGTGTTTTTTTTTGTGATTCGTCTTCATTTTTAGGCTTCTTTAGCTTTAGGTAAGATCCAGATGTTGATTACAGCCATGTGATGGGGAGGAGAACGCAGTGGAAATGTGCCTCCACTAGATGGCGCAGAAAACCTCTAAATCTGTCATCAACTTGTACCTGATCTGTCTTGTGCATCTGGTAATACTATGTGGACTATTTATTAGACCAATATTCAGTGAAGGAATATTAGAACACAGCATCTGCCTAATTAAAAATAAATTGCCAGATAAAGTCTACAGCGCTTTAGATCATTACTGGAGCCCATAAAAGGCTTAAGAAGTCAGTTCGCTTTCACATTTTTAAACAGAAAACCAGCCATCTTTTCCTGCATCAAATGACTTTTAGCATATTCCTATTAGAATATTCCTACTGTCAACAGATGTCAAAACCCAAGTCCTTCATTTGGCCTTTGAACTGAGTGTTTTTTTCATTATTGCAAGTCTCTCTTGGTTCCTTCTGTCCCTTGGGATCAATTAACGGGGGTCATCCAGTCATTCAAATGGCTCCCACACCCTTGACCTCCACTATCTACGGCAAACCTCACCCATTGAAAACGAAGAGGCCAAAGGAAGGGATTTGTGCGCCTATGGGGACCGAGCCCCACGTTTTGGGGGCAGCATAATCCTCCCTGGAGTGCATCATGTACTGAGTTGTTTTCTTTTTTCTTTTTTTCCTGGAAAGGTTACAGAATGAGCGGGTTATCTTAGTTGCTCCTACCGGCTGCTCTAATTGGATCAGCTGGTGAGGTTTAGGCATGAGATATGAGGCCTGATTTTGTGTTGAGGCTTATCTCTGATGTCAAACAACACCGCGTGTGTGACACCGGGCAGAAATGACTAGCAGGATTTCGGTGGAGAACAGTGCACTGTTTTTTATCCCTTTCCATTCGAGGCAGAAGAGCATGCCCACTTATTTGACCACAAAATTGCAAATGGATGTAAAATGTGTGTAAAACTGTACCATAAATTAATCTATGAAAAATTAAGAGAAATGAAAAAACAACAACAGAGTGATTCCAAAGCAAATTAAATTAATTTACAAACCTAAGGATATAGGCGAGCATAAAACAAATACGTGTAGGCCCTTCCCGGTTTTCAGAATAATAACTCTTCTCGCGAAAACAACGTGGAAAGCGAGAGGAAATTCGCACCGTGCAGGCTTCCGTAGGCACCACAGCGAAGGGATCTTCTCGCTGCCTCAGCTTGAGGGCATCTCTCCCTTGCTTTCACATCACCCACACCAAAACACGGCGGGATGACGGAAAATAAGGGACCACGCACCCGTCTTCTTCCCGGCTGGCGTTAGAATCCTCCTCAGAGTTCTGGGAGCCGTTCAGGTTGGCGTGATGCCTCTCAACATGCAGCTTTTTCCTTGATGATGAGGATACATTACACCCAGTCTTTGGACACGAACAGAGCATAGTTATCCCGAGCAGAGTCGAGCTGGGCTCAGCCTCTCGCTCTTAGTGTGTTTTCGTGCATTTCACACACGGTTTCTACAGTTCTGTGCTCGTTGAGAGTTGTTTTAATGTCATTCCCCCCCCCCCCCCCTCCTCTCGGATGATGCGAACAGTGGTGCTCCAGCAGAGGAGAAGCACACACAGAAGTATCCGCCTCACAACACAAGGTAGGTGCTGTCTGCATGCTTTCTTGGGTGCATTGTACATCTCTGCAAGGTATCTTTCCTTTGTTACCAGTAAACCTCTCAATTTTCGTGTTCCGCCGTCCTGCAACTTCCGTCGTTTTCAGAGAGTTTTCATTCTTATCGGGGAGATACGATCGGAGGCACTGCCCCCTATTCCCCTTTTGTTATCCTGCACATTTCCACGATCTAGCAGCAGCATCCTCACACCCGCCATACTGGGCTCTCCTTAGCCTCCCCTTACAGTCATTTACAGTAAATGGACTGGATGTGGAGCTCAATCACATATGCATTCTCTTTCTGTTTGGGAAATAGGTGATTCGGGACCACATGTGTCTCTGCCCATTTTTTCAGATGCCGGAGCTGTTATTAAGAAAACATAAGAAGCTGTGAGTAGGCAGCAACTCATGTCTAATGGTCCAGGAAGAGGACGCTAAGAGCAAAATGCATCCGTGTGAGAAGTCAATGGGGGAATGTGCCAGAAGATGAGGAGAAAAAAAAGTAGGCATCTTCATCACAAAGCTTAACCTAACCGGGCGTTTACACAGAAGCCGTGCACCTAGACCATAATCTGCTCTGACATCTCTCTCCTTTATGACACACTATCTCTTTAGGGCTGCTGTTTCAGTGGCAAAAGTAGCCAGTGGACTAGAACTGCCTGACTTTGAGAAGTTCTCCTGATGCAGAGTCGGCTCTGGTAGAGTGCATTTAATCATTTGGCCTTTCATGCTCTATGCAGGGAGCAGTCTTTTTGCCACGTTCAATTCAGCATGAATGCAACTCCAGCACTCAGGCAAAATAGGAACGGGTACATATCTGCCTCTAAGGACTGTTTTCAGCATTGATTAATGAGCTGATCATTTAATTGATTAAGTATTCCGTCAAATCTGAGGGAGGAAAGTTCTGCAATTACAGGATTTGTTTAGTCTCTCTGTCCATAAAAACGTACGGACTTGAGTTTGAGAGTTCAACATCGCTCATTGTGCTTATAATAAGATGTTAACAGCTCGCCATTTTCTATATGAACCATGCTGAGTAAATACTCACAGGGTTTACGTCCACCTTGATGGACAAAAAGGTCTCTGCCGCAGATCCATTTACTCCTCTCGTCCTGAGGAGGTTGGAACGGATGCACTGTTTCCCGTGTCTCTGCCTGACAGGCTTTTTCTTTCTCACTAAAGATGTTCTGGAACGTTGCAGGAGGAAAAAAACACAGGTGCAAAGAGGCAAATTAATAAAGAATGCCGAGATGCTACTCGGCTGCTTTAGATTCAGGTCCTCTCCCCCGGCACTCTGGGGATAGACGGCTGTTGTTATCATCAGTAAGTGGACCTTAAAATCTTTCATTGACTGCTGATTTAAGGAGTAGTGCCTCACTGTTTGGGTGAGCTGTTTCGATGGTAATGTGGAGGCACAGTTTAACCGTCTGCTGGGAAAATCTGCTGTTTCATCTGGGGGTTTACCCCAGGGTGAAAGCGGTTATACCATCAGGATGTTTTTTCATGTGCAGGTAACAGGGTTGCTTTCTGGTTGATCCCATCTATCTAGAACTGAAAAAGCCATCGTTTCAGTTTGGGCCAGACAGGCGGAGCTGATGGTATGGTAGAACTTTTGGGTCACAATGATATTTGATGTATTTGGCTGCTCGGACACATTAGTGATGGAAATAGACACAACACGGCGGACACACCTTTGAGAATAACCTACTCGTCTTTATTACAACAAATCCTTATATGTCACAATTTAACTAGTTCTGGGTACAATTTTCTTTGTTGAGGTGATTCGGAAAGTTTGGGCAATTCATGTTTATCTTTCATTTTCACGATGCCTTTAAGAGTTTTTGATTTGGAATGTATAATCTTATATTGAATAGATATTAAGAGTGGAATAGATAAGAAGCTGGAAAATGTTGTAGCAGAAAAAAAATTGAAATTAAGCATATAAACATATTCATACATTTATGATTTTTCCTTAAAGAAGGCATATACATACATACCTAAACCCTGACCTGAGGGTTTGTGGCCATTTGCTTGTGGACAGTGCTCTTAAGGTGTCACAGCGCCTCAGTCAGGTTGAGGTCTGTCTGGTGGTGAGCCTGGGTTATTTTGGCTCTCACATTTTTCATCCATTGTGTTGAGGATTTGCTGCCATGCTAGAGATCATCGTCCTACTGTATGACTCAGCCTTAGTCAGGCTTTGGACAGGCAGTCTCAAATTTGACTTAAATTTGACTCAGAGAGCACAGTGACTGCAATGTGTCTGGGTTCTGTGGGGGACCGCGTTTTGCTGTGATAAGGGATTTTTAAAACCATTTATTTATCTATCTTGCATTTTGCTGAAACTTTTCCCCTTAGGCCTTATATGTCTAAACTTGATTGTCCCACCAATTTAGCTGTTTATGCAGCTGCATCATTACGTCTAACCTATAGCAGGGCCATTTTTCTTCCTTTATATCTAATATAATTCCTATAATGCAATACGTATTATATTTGATACACACTGTTTCTGAATAGAAAAAAAATCAGAGCTCTTTTGCATCATTTAATGGTAAAAACCATGCTTAAAACCCTGTTGTACACAATCACATACACCTAATAACAGCGGGCAGAAACTACTAAATAAACTATGAATATTCAACAATGATCTCTGTTTATTTCTTTTTAATTTCAAACAAAAGAAATAGTTTACTCTGTTTTTTTCTTGATCAAGCTCAAGTAGATTATATTAATTTAAAACCAAACTCTGAAACTGTAGTGACAAATTACAGGTCTGTATTAAAAGGCCCTTGTAGAATTATGTCCTGTTCTCTGAAATGTGAAACTACTGTTTCCTGTTTTATTGTTCATCAACCAACAACTAAATCCAAACCACCTCCATGTCACTGACATAGCCTGTGAGCTAGCTTCGGAAGCACGGCATGATATCACTGGTTGAAAAAATTACTTATGATCAAATCTGAATGGCTTTTACATCATTCGTAGAAGACTTGTCACGCTGTTAGTTAATGTGAAGCTTGAATCGAGTCTACAAGTCATAGAATTATTTATTTATCATACTTTCCAGGTCTTGAAAGCATTTTTGATAGCATTTTAAAATCATTTTATTCAATAGATGCTTTCACAGATCCTGTAATATTAACACCAATGATTTGAGCATCATAATTGCCACTGAATAAATCTGAAATCGCATTCATTATATGTAAATCTTCATAATTATTAGATAGTAGTTTGAATTTGATCTTAAAAGGACTCCTTGTGGAAATATAATAAGAGTTTGTTTGACTGCAACTGTCTCAGAGCTATATAGT